GCTCTTCCTCCACATCACTTCAACCCAAGCAAGGGTGTTCAGTTCCCAAATAATCTCCACTTAGAATTGAAGATGAGAGACAGCTAGGCCACTAATAACCATCCAAAATGGCCTTTACCAGTGAGAGGCTGAAATTGCTGGCAGTTTCACCAGCCTATCAGAAATCCACTCAAATAAGAACAGCCCTAATAGCAAATGGCAGGAGACCGAAAGGCAAAGGTCAGATTTCTCCTCCTATAATCTCCCATGCTTACCAGAAATCCCTATATCAGAGAGACGTGGTGAGGAAGGTAGCAATGAGACCCAGAAGAGCTTTAAAAATCAGGCACATCAGAAGCTGTTGAATTTCTCTGCCAAGTCATAGTCATGCATCAGAGCTGAAAGAAAAAAAAAACACACTCTCAGACAAATATGACATTTGAGAGGCTGAGATCATAAATACGTGCCACTGCGAGACAACAAGATGGACAGGAACTTGTTTTCTTTGGCCAGTGATTCAGATTTCCAAGAAAAACAAGGTTTACAAGGGAGTATTGCCAATCCGGTCACAGTCTTCCTCACCATTCCAGGTGACCTTTAGAAGCTATTGAACAATTTTAACCACAGTTGATGGAAGAGAATGGCTTAGCCTTTAGAATGGCTTGGTTGTTTAAACTTCTGTAAAAACAGGTCCTGGATATGAGAGAAATTATAATCAGTGCCCCAAGCAAAAAAAAAGTTTCAGGTGTTTCACAGTTTAAGCATCAGGGAATCCACAAAAGCCTCTGAAGATCCATAGGAAACCAGGCTTCATTGGCTCTACTGTTGAATCTTTTGTTAAAGTGAGACAGGAAATGCAACACAGTATTTCTTATTTTTGCAGAACACTATTGTAAAGTCGCTGCTGAGATTTCTTTTAAAGTGGGTTAATTAATCAGCTGGCCTCTCACAGGTCAATTCTTTAATTTTCCCACTCACCTTCTTCCTTATATTCATCAACCATGTCCTGAGCCGCAGTGTCATCAGCTCCTATTTATTCCTCCGTGATCTGCTGGCTTTATTTCCTACAGCTTTAGTAGAAAGCTGGAGAGACAGGTTTGCCCTGTAAGAATAAGCCTGTGACAGCTGACCAAAACTGTTGGAACGAGACCACAGGAACTCTGTAAAGAGTTAATCAGAAACAAGGACAGAAAGGGGGATGTCAAAAAAAAATATTGTAAATCAGTAAAGCTGAGAATAAACAGTTCTAGGGGAATGATAAGGAATACAACAACCCTCCAAAGAATTTGATGAGTTGACACTACAAGAATGGCGTTCAACTGAAGATGACCTACAGCTCATTAAAGCTTATTAACATACAAACTTCCTCTCCCCTAACTGAATAATGAGATGACAGTAATATGATAAGAAGGTTACCACCACTCCTCCTTGGCTCTCTGTGATAATTAGACACTATAGCGCAAGCGCAGAACTGATACAATACACAACCAGAATGTAGCCAACAAAAAGATGTGTATGAAACATTTCAGGAAACTGTGGAAATAAATACAGAATGGGGGGTAACAGAAGGGGTGCTGACTTGGTAGAGCTACCACCTACCACTCATCTCTGCATAGAAATAAGTATCTTGACTCTGTCCAGCTTCCAGCCCTCTGCACATCAGGTTAAGCACCCAGTTCGGGACAACCACCACCCCCAAAAAGCTCAGTGTGATGCAGCCTTTTCAAACAGGCACAGGCCAGGCCATTTCAAAAGTCCTCTCGAACATCCACAGAAAACATAATCAAAGTGCGTTGCTTTTTCAACACCTGCAGCGTACGATCTTCTCATCCTCCCAAAGCTGTGTCTTGCTAAAACAGAAGTCAGCATCTTTAAGGAAGTATCACACTTCACACGTCTAGCCAGTAACTTCAGTAGGAGATCTCAGCAAGATAACACATGTTCTTTAAATGGATGCTAGGAGCAAAAACAAGTCCAAGCTGAAGAGTTAACAGCAGAAACTTCATCTAGTACCATGTGCTGCTGTAGGGACATGAACAAAAGAAAAAGGGGGGAATGTAGGGATTAAATAGTTAATGTAGAGTATACTAGTAGACTAGTCTATACTTAGCCTTATCTGCAAGGACTCCTGATAAATGGCATGTCAGGATGTTCTGCATGGAGGGGTTGCTTATCCAGATGTTCCAGTCAGCAATGAAATATAGATAACATTGACATGAAAGCAGAACAGGAAAACAGGAGGGGGAACATTCTTGGGGTAGGAAGGGTATAAAAGCACGGAGTGCGAGGTGATCGGGGTCCGTGGTGTAACCCCTGCGTGGGATGAGCCTGCACCCCAGCTAGCTGGTAATACTTATTATCTTTCTCCTATCATTAAAAAGCACAGCATATCGATGGTGTTTGCCTCTTTCTCCCTCGATTCGAAAAACGGACCCAACACTGCCATTTCACTGCTCCCTCCTCTGCCCTGGAGGGCCCAGACAATCACATACTTCACCCAGGCTTATTTTGCTGGCACATTTTGCTCTGCCAGCCAGCCCTTGTTTGGGAATCCAAGGCTATTACTCTACTAGACAATAATATCAAAAGCCAAATAGCAATTTCTGCTCTGTTCACTAGCTGTACTGTAACTAATACTAATCTGTAACTTGTCCCTACAGATAAGTTTCTGTGCTCACCCACAAAGTGTCTCAGGGAGGAGCAGGCAAAATTTAAGAGGCTGAACTCTCCCACAGAACCATCAATGTGACAGGGAGGGGAAAGGCACGTAACCTAAAAAAGTAACCCAAAATCTACTCAATCACATTTTAAAGGTGCTGTGGACTTCCTCCAGGCTGATATGTTTTTAATGAATTCACATTAGAAGTGTTTATATCACTTTATATCACAGGCTTTGGAGAAGTTCATCTCCAACATCTCACAGCCCAAAGTTTTACCAAAATGAAGAGGTCAGTTTAAATTTGAATAAGCCCCTCCGTGGTTTATCACAAATTGGAATTACAGCAATATAGCACTATTGCGATATACTGATATTTCGATCTTTATTTTGAAGCTGGTTTATGAGGCTGATAAACTGCCAGTGCAGAAGGTTTCTCCCTAAGAGACTTCTCCCTGTGTGCGCATACACAAAGAGGAACCGTCAGAGTTCCAGAAATACTAGTTCTCAGCTCTCAAGCCATCTGAGAAGCTAAAATTTTACATTTCTTGCAGAAGCTGAACTTTTGTTTACTTTGCTGCTTTTGCAAAGATAAAGAAGTCTGGCACCCAACGTTCCATTAAATGAGCATTTTCCTCTTTTTATTGTCCTATGTAAGAGGGGCAAAGTGTCCCAGTGCTATGCATGAAGTTGTACTTAGCATCTTCAGAAAACAACGGTACACTTTGATCCTTTAGCCTCCTCTTCAAAGGTAACATCCACAGCTTACCACTGCACTGCAGAAACTCACAGGCTATGCCAGCCAGTTGGCAGGCTCCATGCACATAAAGTAACTGGAAAAGAATAGCAGATACCAATCCAGGACAAAACATACTTTATTGTATTGTAATGTCAGAAGTACAAGAAGAGTACTGCAGAGGACCATGCTAATGGGACTCCTGCGTTTGGGAAGGACAGAAGTACAAGAAAATGGGGTTCTACTGTACCCAGTGCAATAACTGATTCATTTGAGGCACAAGTACACTATTGTTTAAGCAGCTTGATTCAAGCACAGCTCTGGTATGTGATCTACTTTGTTTCCTTTTTATGTGGCAATTTGATAGTAAAGCTACTTTTACATTAAATAGGCAGTAGATCCAAGTCAGGGGTGTCCAAATCACTTCGAGGCAATCAAAAATAACTAAGAAACAAACAAACAAAAAACACCTCTGCATAGTCACCCTCCACATTTTAAGTTTTAGTTATGGAGCTGTGGCTAATGAAGAAAAATCATTCTGAAAGGTCAGAGCCCAGGTCATTTTGTTTCTCTCTTATGTGTCTCTGAGTAACTTATTTCATGTTAACCATAATTTGTCTAAAGAGGAAAAAAATGTGCATCTTTAATACAGACTCATACATAGCTAACATTCAAATTAATTGAAGCCCTTGAGATTTTAACTTATGGCTTAAGACACAATGAAAGTAAGTGTTTGGGCACCCTTGAGTTAAGTTAATGAAGAACATTTCTGCTAAAAGGCAAGCAAGATCACTATTTTAAACAGAGCTGACCTCTACAAGAAGGAAGCAGGAATCCAAGTCACTGGTTACAACTAGGCTTACATGTGCTGCTGCCCAGAAAGATAAAATTGTAGTATCACAATGAAAAGGTTCGACAAGGTTGAGAGAGATACGTTTCAACACCAGAAGCAGCATTTGAAAACAAGCTGTTTAAGTTAATCTTTTCAAGAGATGCAGATTGCATACTGGATGCATGAGCAAACATGCTGGCAATCTTCTCCTTTTACACGGCAGCTGTGTTTGGCATAGGAAGTTCTGGGTTTAAAGAAAGCTCCTTGAAGAAGAATTAAGATTTGCATTTGCCTTGTCTACTTAATGAGATTAGTAGAGATGAAAAAAGAAAAAAAAATACTACTAAAACAGTAGTTTCTTGGAGGATACCTATTATTACAAACACAGCTTCTGATTCGTAAACAACCCAAGACTAAACAGACAAGTATTATTTTATATTATTACTATGCTTATAAGTTACATCAGTTAAAAGAAAAAAAGAGCCAAGCAGTTTTGCCCTATTTCAAAAATAGTTTCCAATCAACACCAGTTTACATGGTGAATGGGACTTCACAAATAAATGAGGAATGGTGACATCTTTGGGTCAAGAACGACAAGAAGTAATGGGCTCTGTGCTACCAATCAACCTCAACAAGAATATGGCACAAGGGCCAGCCCAAGCTGTACCAACACTGAACCTTTAGCTCTCGGCACAAATTCAGATCTCTTCACTTAAGCTAGCAAATCAGGTGAAAAGATTGGGTAAAAAAAAAAAAAAAGAAACAACTTAAGCCAAAAATTGGAAGGTACTTTAAAAAAAAAAATCTGTAGTTTTAAAATAACTTTATACTGACATCAGTTTGTGCAAACTAAAAAAAAAAAAAACACCATTGATTTCTCTCTAACAAAAGAACCCTTCCCAATATTTTCCTTTTAGCCCATCATACCTGCAGACACAATCTCAGATCTAACAGATGCAAATGCAAGAGAGAAAGTTACAGCATCTGCACAACACTCTTTCTACAAACAGCTGCTGGAAGAAAATTAAAATATAAAGGAATAAAGAAAGGAAGGTTCCATCTGATATTCTCTCACAATCTTTCCCACTCTGTAGTCCATGAATCCGACTCTGATGCTAAGGTGACAGTGTATGTAAGTAGATTTTTTTGTTGATTTTTATTATTTTCGAGTTTCAAATGAAGAAAACCTGCAAAGAGACTTGAGTCCCTTCAGGAATTGTCGGACGGAACATGCTCCTCGAAGCCTTCGCTCTCTCGGACCAAAGCTCTTTCCAGGATCACACGGCCTTCCTTGTAGCGCTGGCTGTCTTCGGTGGCAAACTCATAGATCCACCCCAGTTTGCTGTTGCAGTTCTTGCAGCTCACATCTCGAACCATGTGGCGGCCAGTGAGCATGACCCGATCCTGAACTTCACTGTACTGCAGATTTACCACCTGATAAAGACACACAGAGAAAGAGAAAATAGAAAGGATTAGTTTGCCTAGAACAAAGCTTGAGAGCAGTGGCCATGACTCTCGATATTTTAAAAGAAATGTCCAAATAAAGAGCCTGAGGTGCTGCATATGAACTCAGTACTGAGATGTAATAGTCTGCAGGCCTTCAAGATCTCCTGCTGGGAAGGTAACACTCTAAAGATGCTCTTTACAAGGATGTACAGCCCTCACTGTCTAGTAAGGGACCTGAGATACTACCACAAAAGTTGTGAGAATACTGCCTTCAGCATTGGGTCAGAAATTACTCGTATAATAACTTATACATTTCTCAATATTGAATCACTTTCAATTTATCTCATCCATTACTAGCCAGTGATGTGACCGATTATTTGCAGATATCAGAATTAAAAAAGGAAACTGCTGGAAATTCTTGTAGCACTTCGGAAATTATCATCTACGAAAAGGGAAGATTGAGTGGCTGAGAATGTAGGCACTGCACATGCATATTTATCTTTTTGCTATTTTGGCAATTTAAAATATACTTTAACTTGGTTAGCAGCAAACCCAAGAAACGGGATGCATAACTGTCTGAGAAGTGGATGTTCAAACTAGATCCAAACTGTCAAACACATCAGGTTTTTGAAAAATGGAGTTATACTGCTTTAAGTTTTCCATTTGACTGCACCTGCTCTCTCCACTTCAGATCATGCTCCTGTGCAGATATACGCACAGAAGTATCAAACTTCCGTGATTAAAATCCACTAGCACAAAAAAATGAACCCCAGGTTGCAGTGCTTATTGAACAAGAGGTCTGATTTATGGCTCTCTTTTTATAGCTATGTAGCCTTCCACTTACATACACATACTGCCAACAAGCTTCAACAAAGTCCAAGGCAAACCATGGTTAACTGATGATATTACTGATGCCTACATCATCTGCCAACATAGGCTTTCGAGAAAAAAAGAAAAAACACACACCACTGATTACATAACTAGAAGCTTTATGAGAAAGTAAAGATCACTGTCTTTCAATGAATCGAACCAACAAGTTTACATTGAAGGTTTAATAAACAATGCCACAATTCACAAAGAGTAAGAGTCACAACTTTCGTATTTTCATTAATCAGTTGAATTCAGTCAAATCTGATCAATAAAGAATATGACATTACGTGTTCATATATAAATATGAATCCGGGCATTATTGCCTGTAAAACAGGCTGTGTTTACCTACACTGGCCCAAATGCCTTTAACTTAATCATGTTTTAGAAATGCAACAAAATATAATCTAGATCTTTTATTCATGAAAGAAGCATAAACCCTTTGAAACTCTTAAATGAAAGCTATTCTTACAGTGAGTTTGAGGTTCCTACATCAGAACTTAAATCTCCAAAGTTAAAAATGCCTGCATTTTGGCATGATGCCTCTATATTTACATTCCCCTTTGTAGTCTTTCAGTATTACAGATAAGCTTGGATTACTCACGGTTCACAGTCAAACTTCAGAATGACAGACTCATATCCCACAGACTTATTTTTCAAAACCAAACAGTAAATCCCTTCCAGCTCCTGATTTCTTACTAACCTTGTTAAAAAGGAAGGCTCTTCCTGTGGCCCCTGTAAAACGAGTAGAGATGAGCTCAGAACGATTGGTCAGAATCGTGTCACAGTTTGCACAGGAGAACAAGCGAGTGCCACCAATATGATCCAGGAAAATTCTGCCCATTTTCACAACTTTTGTAAGTTTATACTCAAGACCTGGAAGCAAAGAAAAAAAAATATCACATACACGTAAAAGAAAAGCACTCCAGGAAAAAAAGATCTTCACAGAATATTCTGCAAAGTAGTTCAGGTAATGATTGCAGAGATACTTTCATATATGAATTACTGAACTTATAGACTGCATTCATCCTTTAAGCCATCAAGGTTTACAAGCACAGAACTTGAACAAAACAAGATTTTTTTTTCCTAAACTTGTCCCATTTTTGCCAGTAAGATAACACAACTAGATATAAACTAACTGCATTAAATGAGGAAAATATAAATTCAAACCCATAAAGCATATTTCAGACATTCAGAGCCCTGTCACCTATGGAACCTATGGTTCTTATTTTTGCAAGCCTCTATTTTCTTTTCCTCTAACAATGAAATTCCATTTCAGTACATTCCCCAAAGACTTACCCATCTCAGCACTTGGAAATGAAGTACTGAGTCAGCAAGACAATTACTAAATTTTCCCAAGTCCTCCCCTCCCTCTCTTTTTTAATATATACTTATCTTGTCACTTCCCCTCAGCACAGCTCCATTTATCACGCACAACCACACAGCAACTCATCCAAGATTTAGTCTCTTAGCACAGCACACTAGGCTGAGAAATTTAACTGCTTAACTTAACTGCTGATTAAGAACTGGACCTCACTGATTTCATATACATACTGACACAGATAAGGTGCGGATGCTATTGCACATAAGAAACAGCCCACCAGAATCTTTAGTATTAGATAGCTTTACATACAAACCTCTAAAGCTGTCTACCCTACATATAAGATATTGGTGTTATTTACTCAAGCAATTTCCAAAGTCACATTATTACCATATCTCAACAATCCTTCTGATCAGAAAAAAAAAGACGTCTTGGGAAGTTTATAGCACCAGAACTGTAGCACCTGACAAAGAAGTCTCTTCGCTGGTCAGGAAAGCTAAAGCACCTCAGCAGCTTTAAGCCAGCTAACATAAACTACTAAAGTTAGCAACTGAGTAGGAACAGAACATTTCAGCTGAAAATTTAAATCACAAAGGATGAAGTAACATGACAAAGGAATTAAATGATGATGCCATTTCCATCTTAACCTCAGAAAAGTTTTATGACTAAACATCTGTAGTTCAACAAGTTAAATACACTTCCATTTATGTTTCAAATGTGAAAGCAGAGAAATATGTTTTCTTTTTTTTCTCCATGCACAGCAATGCAAAGTAAATCTGACACTGCAATATAACAGTTGTGTGGGTTTGCTTTGCAAAGGAGGAGAGTGTGCTGTTCCTAGAGAAATTCATCACGTCCTGTACTCATCAAGTTCAGTATTCTATGTCAAGTACCATGAGAAAGGCAGATACTGAACTAAACACATTTTAAGTCCTAGAGGATCCGCTTCTTTACTCCTACATGCACAAAGCATACAAGCATGCAACCACAAGTATAATCTTTAAAATAGCATCCTTATATATGAATATATATATTTAATTACTAATATAAATGATATCCAAAATGATATTCCATCACTTTGTTTTCTTACCATTTGGAAATGAAGAGTATTCCTAATATTAACTAGTATGACTTTAACACAGGTTGCTTGCATTCAGAATTTTCCATTCACTTTCTATTAAGTCTCCAGATAAACTCATTGCTCTTCTTGAAGCAGACAAATGAAACAAGTCTCGAGTTTGATAAGCTATTTCAAACATTTTGCTGTGCATGGAGTACAATATTTCCTTGTGACTCCACTCACAATAGAGGAAGTATTCTCCAATTTCTTTTTCCCTAATAACTTTCTAATATGGCTTTATTTTTCCAAGGTAGCAAGTGTGGGCAAACAAATAAAATAAAATAAAACAATAGTGCTGACAGCAAGGAAGAAAAATTAACTGACAGTAAGTGTGAATAACTGAGTATCAGTAAAAATCTGCAGCCAGAAGAATGCCACATATGCAAGCAATAAAAGCAATTGTGTGGACAGATATGTCCATAAGGCACCTGGCATAACGCCATGTGCCATTCTTACTAGTCTGGGATAATGTCATTTTTATATTGATTGTAGATTTAAAAAAATAATTATTATTATTAACTGTAAAATATTTTAAATGAGGAATCTCCATATGAAGGGATATTTCTTTTAAGGCCAAACCAAAGCTAACCCTGTCAGTACTTTCAGAAGCTAACTTAAAGCAAGTACAAAACCATTCCTGCCTTTTTACAAAGAGTAAACCACAAACACTAACCCTGGTAAATCATGAAAAAGGATCTAACAAATAGACTAATCTAGCAAAGTATTCAAATTTCAGATATACATCTGAAAACATTTACATTTAAAGACATCTCATATCTAACAATATAATTCATGTTACTGCACCATGAAAGCACTGGAAACAAACAAACAAAAAAACAAAGAGCAAGAAGTAACCTAATCAAGTATCTAAACAAGAAAAAAAAATCCAGTAAGATTTAGATTCTAACCGAAAAGCAGAATGAGATTCACTTGATGGTAACATAAAGCTGGGAGAGTTGAGACTAAGGTTATGGCAGAATAACACGCTAAATACAGTGCATGAGCAGCAAAAACAGTTACACATTTAAAAGTTTAGAAAAGTTCTACAAATTGCATAAGCAAATTGTAATTTGCAATACCAAAGAGTCAAAGCAGTTTTTAGAAGTCTCTTAAAACACAAAGTTTAATTTATTCCCATTAGAACTTCTAACCTTTAAAATAACCTCTGTGCTTATTTTCCCAATCATAGATTTTAGCTAAAACAGATAATGACCTAGAATTCCTATCATAAGCTCCAGGCTCTGACTGTTGCAGGGGTACAGTATTTCAGCAAAGGATTCTCTAAGAATCACAACCCTTACACTAATCTTTATATTGCTGTTCACAGATGTAAAAAGCACAAAAAATAGTTATGGAGTGAGAAAAACTTACAAAACGAGTGCTAATAAGGCAACCTCAAAACCATGCATTTGATTGTGACTTTTGCCAATGAGCTAATAAGGAACTTAGGCTTTTTCCTCTTGTACAAACAAGAAAACAAGAAAAGTGAACTTGGATGTGGGGTTCCTCTTCCTCCTCCCCCCCACGCGCCTTTTAAGCCAAAACCGGATAATTCACAATTCACTTGTAAGACCTGTTCATAACGTGCTTTGCTGTGGACAAAAACTGCTGTCCTCATACGTGACAATCCCGATTCCCATAAGGTTTACTTAGTGAACACTGAAACACCACAGTAGAAGCAGAGCAGAGAAAGCCATTTTCCATTGCTCCCAAGATCATATCCCTTATATACTGAATCAGTGTGGAAAAAGTCACCCAAGATAACTGTGTAATTTCTTTCCTCCAGTTTCCACTTCCCATGCAAAACATGTAGGTGTTTATTTATGTTCACACATATATAAATGATCTGAAAAAGCCATTTATAGGCAGCTTCTCTAAGCAGTGGGAAGGTTCTCTCAAATAAAGGAAAAAAAAAAAAAGGAGAGAGAGATTTGTGGGGGAAAAAATGCATTTTTAACATTTAAGATCTTCCGATTAGGGGGAGGAAAATACAAGAAGCACATGCACCAAATTCAGCTACTCCTTATACCTAAAAAGAGTGCAATTGGCTGAGATCATCTGCACAGGCTGACAGCATTAGTCAAATTCCCTATTACTATTCACCACCCCAGAAAACGGCACTGCTGCATCACACCAATTCCCTCACACTGCCAGGAGAACTTCCAAAAGCAGGAACCTCACAAAACCAAAGGCCGAGGAAGGAATAGAATTTTCTGGCCCGTGATTTCTTCTTCAAAGTGAACAAAGTATTCTTGGCCGGATACATGGCAGTGATGAAGTCCTAGTGATCCTGCCCTCACGCAGATTCCTAAGCACAAGCCTGGATATTAAATTAATGGATCCCATGTAAAAAGGCAGACTTATTTACCTTCACTAATGGGATATAAAGCATCTACCACTTTCCACATTCACACAGTTGGAGGAAACAGACATGCAGATGTCACACAAGCAGATGTCACTGTGTCATTAGTCAGCATCCAACCAGCACGACCAACTTCCCTCCTTGACAGTACGTAAGTTCAGAATATCAAGGACAGCTCCTATCACCCGATGACTAAGGCTTGCTCACAGTATGTTATTTTCACATTACACCTTGATACCCCTACTCAGTCTCATCACACATGTCCCCTGCCCACACGCTTTCCCCAGGGAGCACACACAAGAAAACACAAGCCCAATGGCTGTGTGTCCATAATACCCATTTCCAGCACAGTGCTCCCAAATTGCTACCCATCATTCAGTGCTTATTTTTACAACACTGAGCAACAGCTGTCAATCAGCTGACATTCAGCAACTTAATTTCACCACTATCTGCACAGAGAATCCAAGCACCCGGAGCATTTGTTTGGTTTGCATTTGTACGGTTTGCATTTGCACTACGTAATCTGCCTACCTTCAACAGCAACAAAGAACAAAACATGCAAATGGAAAAATATATATATATTTATTAACTTTTTTTTAAGCAAACAGTCAGTGTTTTCTTGTCTCAGAGTACATATCCCAAAGACAGAGAACTGGGAAAGCTGGCACCTTTCTGTACACACTGGACTGTGGATATCTCGGGAGCCTCAATGTTGCTTCAGCACCATCTACTGCATCTCAAATCTACAACAGAAAACAACTGCTAGTTAAGAGATACAAAGCTATGAGAAACTCTGTTTCTCCATCTCTCTAACCAAAAGTGTTTACCTTTGCACGGCAAGCCAGTAATCACTGTATCCTCCTTAAAAGATGATGATGCGTTCGCCTAGGTGGAACCAGGCTTAAACTTCACCTTGGAACAAGGCTTGAGCTTCCCCTTCTCATCTCAGAGACAAACAAAAGAGGGAAAAGATTAGCCCAGCTACACAGGACTGCATGTTAGAGAATCAGTGGATGAACCAAATAACCAGGCTTGCTCTTTACCTGCTCAGGTGCCTGCTGCTCACAAGAGGGGTGCT